CAGCTCGCTGGCTGGGCACGCCGGCCGCGCGGGGCAGATGCCGATTGAGATCGTGTGTAAAATCAAATTTGCCGAGGAGGATGAGAAGCAGAAGGAGAAAGAAGAAGGGGATAAGGAGAGCCTGATCGAGGAGCCCGCCCGGCCCCGCTCCCGGGACCTGGCCACCTTCGCCAGCGCCAGCACGCTGCATGGCCTGGGACACATCTGCCGGTCGGGGCGGCTGGGCGTGCGCCAGACCCTCTGGGCAAAAAATGGCCTCGCTCGCCTTCTTCCTCTACCAGGCGGCCAAGTCAGCGCTGCTCTACCTGGAGCACCCCCACGTCATGGCCCTGGACGAGGAGGCCATCCGCGAGATGGTCTTCCCCGCCATCACCATTTGCAACATCAACCGCTACCGCCACTCGGCGCTCACCGACGCTGACATCTTCCACTTGGCCAACATGACCGGGCTGCCCCCCAAGGACCGGGATGGCCACAAGGCCACGGACCTGCTCTATCCTGACCCTGACATGGCCGACATTGTTAACCGCACCGGCCACCAGCTTGACGACATGCTCAAGAGCTGCAACTTTAGCGGCGAGAACTGCTCGTCCCGTGATTTCACTGTGGTGAGTGCACACCTGGCTCAGCTTCCCCGGGGGCTCCTGCCGGCACGGGGGGCACCCACCTGGCCGCACCTCGCTGGAGCAGGGTTCCCTGGCTCGCTCTGGTTGCTGAAGTTTGCATCTCTCTCTGTTTGAGTTTCCCTCCAAGTTTCACATGGAGAGAGAGGATCCTCTGTGGGAGCTCTTGGTAGGGCTGTGCACCGCAGCACTGGGCTGCAGGCAGCTCCGTGCTGAGGGGCTCGCAGGCAGGAGCTGGGGTCGGGGGGAGCGGGGCTCAGCGGTCCCCAGGGTGGGTGTGCAGCGGGCAGGGGGAGAGCTGTGGTGTAGAGCCCCGCTCCAGCCTGCGCTTCCCCCTGGGTTGAAGTGCTCCATCACAGGGTGCTTTGCACAGCGAGAGCGGCTGGGGGGGGGTTGCAGACAGAGACCCCTTTGCACACAAGGGAGCCTTCCTGCGTTTGGGGGGGTTGGAGCTAAGAAGTGTGTGAATCCAGAGCCTGCCAGTGTTGCACGCGCATATGTGTGCACACATACACACCGAGCGGCTCTGCTCCGGAGTCGTGGCTACAGCTGGGCAAGTGGGGGGCTGCCTGGGGCTGCCCGCTCGCTGCCCGGGGCTTGCTGGCAGGGCCTCCTCCCAGCAGCACCCTGCTTGCCCAGGCAGTGAGCTCTCGGCCGGGCGCCGCCAGCATGCAGCTTTCGCTAATATTGAGCCTCGAATCACAAATCCCTGCTGTGGTTTGGGAAAATAAATGTGCTGAACGGGCGGAATACCTGATGGGACCCTTTTCAGACCGTAATGACTCTGGAAATGAGCCGCCTCTCTCCTGCTGCCAGGGGCTAC